AAAAAAAAAAAAAAAAAAAAAAAAAAAGAATTCAGAGACAGAAATTTCTTTAAATAAACTAGACCATGACTCCAGCCCTCATATACTTTAGAATTGTAAACAACTTACACCTTGATTCAACATTTGTATTAATGTAGTTCCCTTTCTACCAGGGACATGTGTATCTTGGTCATTTTTTGTCTATCATAGATGTTGACATTTAATAAGGATCTGATACATTTTTTAAGCAAATGGTGGATTACTGTAGTTTAACAATGGAAAGTAGATCAGTAAATTTCTTTTTACTCTGTTATCTTCACTTCTCCCTGCAATTTATATAATTTTCGAGGCATTATTAAAAATACTAGAAATACAATGTATATCCACTATAATTTTTTAAATGTGCCCCACGGGAATTCCATGGTGGTGGCTAGTTATACTCTTGTCAGCATTGGTGCTACCAGGAAACTCATGTGTTCCTTGTATTTTCTGTCATGTAGAAGGAAAATACCTCAGTAGATACTCACAGTGTCCATTGACCTCGGTGCCTCCTGGAAGAGTCTTGGCTGTGGAGTGGTTGAAGATGTAGGAACAGAATTCTTCCACCTGTTGCACAAACTCAGGATAGAGCTCCTCATCATGTAGCGTCTGAAGCTTGGAAAGCTTTTTCTTGTTAGCAGGTGAGTCAAAGATAAAGCATTTCTTTCTTGGAAAGAACTTCTTTATACACAAACGGGACAGATTCAAATGTTGAATTCTCTCATTGCTACCTGGAGTCACAAAAATATGATTTACTTATTATAGCATTTCTGCTCATTATTTACCCCAAAGAAATATTCTGACTAATGTCTCTTAGTTTAACAAGTCTTTTGAGAATCCTAAGTAAAAAGCTAAAGTTATAAATAACAAAAGAAAGAAGTTTACTCCAAGAGCAGGAGAGTGATGAATTTTAATATTGAATCTCTTAATTTACTCTAAATTAGTAATATTTATCTTTTGTCAGAGGAGGATAAATATGAAAAATGTACATTTAATAACTTCCACAAAAAGGATACTTCCTTGGCCTGCTTTACTCTTAATGGGCCAAACCACACACTGATACCTTCTTTGGGTTCCAATGAGTTCTCCAGGTATTCATCTGGTGTGATGACTTGCCCGTCTGTTTCCAGGTGTAGGTAGAAATCTCTCAGAGTCCATACTAAGTCTGGAAAGAAGCTCACTAAGTCATCAGTATCTTCAGCCCCATTAAAGTCAGGTGAGCATCTTGTCCTGAGCAGATCTGTCAGTTCTGTCACATTGCTGAGACGCAATTAAGGGAAGTTCCAAAAATAGGAGAACATCTAAGGCCATATTTTATTCCTTGCCCCCTCAAACATTTTCTCTCTACCACTCAATCAAACTGACATTTCATTATCAGTTAACATTAGGGTTATTCATGCAGTACTTTCGCAGTTTATAAATTCTTATTTTTGTATTTGCAAGATCTCACAGCCATGTAGCTGGTGAGTGCCGATCACCCTGGCTTTGTTACCATCCTTCACCACAAAAGGATACTGCAGTAGGTCTATGGCACCCTGGTCAATTTTGCTCATGGTGTTGTATACGAAGGTGCTGCTCAGCAGGATTGCCAGGGCAAAGATCTGGATATCACTCTTGTCATCAACCTAGAAGTCAGAATAAATTTTAATCATGTCGCATGGCATTCCCAGGTGAGCAATCATTACAAATAGGACTCTGGCATACAAATATTATATGAGACAAATGAGAGTCATTGTCAGACACATAAACTTAGTGTGGCTTTCTCACTGATGATTTTATGTCTATTCATTGTTATCTATATCTGGCATAGTTATCTCATTATTACTTTTATAACTACTATTAGATATTTTCAAAATGAATACACAAGTTAATAATCATAATGGACCATGATGGCTAACACCAGAATGGACTAGATCTGTAAAACCAGGCAAGATCTTCAGGGCTTCCTATTTAACTACTTACAATCAAGATTTTTCCAGGGTCTAAAAAATTAACCTGTATTTATAATACAGATATATTTCTATTGTATTGAGTAATTATTATCCATTAGGCTTACTGAGGAAAATATCATCACTTGTACCACTTACCCATTTCCTGAGTAGTGTAATTTACAGTGTAAAGTATTTCCTTTGCATTGCTAAATAGTCCTAAATATTTGAATTTTTCAATGCTATCATGAAAAGTATGTTTTCTCTAATGTCTTTCTCTCTGAGTTTGTTATTTGTAAATAAGAATGCTATTGATTTTTGAGTGTTGGCTCTGTATCTAGCTCTGATAGTGAATTTGATTATTAAATCAATCGGTCTCTTTTGGAGTTTTTGGGGTCTTCTATATAGAGTATATTACCTGCAAGTAATGACAATTTAACATCTTCCTTCACCAGGCTACCAAGGTGAACTCACTAAATTTACACTTGAAAAGAGATATATACTATTGATTTATATGAGTTGATATGAGGCAGTTCTTGAGCTTATCTGAATCTCTTCCACATCCAGTATAATTTTACTGATTTTTCCTTAAGATATATTCTTTTCCAAATGTGTATCATTATGAATAGGAGGAAAAAGAGGGGATATACTCTCTTCAAGTTTTGAAAAGCAAAACAGAACAGAACAGCTACAACACAACCTCCCCACATAAAGAACACGTAGAGAAGAGTTTGTTCAACTGTGAATCTTCCTGCTTACCTTCTCTACATCTCCAAGGCCCTCAGTGTCCAGCAGAACGAGGGTGTGGTCTGGCTTCTCGGGATGAGGCACACACCACATCCAGATCCCCTTGGTGTGGGACTGCACCGTGGAGCTAACAGAAAAGCCTGGAAAGGAGAGTGGGGAGTTCGTTGTTAACAAAGGGCCCTGGGAAATGAACAGTTTTGGCATAATGAAGTTAGAATTGAAAGACACTAAAATGCAAAGATAGCAGAAAATATAAGTATTGATCTGAATTACAATCAAGGAGTGGGAAAGTAATATTAAACAACATAGTTTAGAGATTTAAAATGTAATAGGGCTATAAAGTTTAATTGTATTTGGAAGTTATCTCATTGATGTCTTACTCAATTCAAAGGGTAATATTAAGGCCAAAATCAAAATAAAACAGAACTGAACAGAAAAAAAGTGGTATATTTGTAGAACAGTTTGGGGAGTATGGCCATTTCTACTATGTTGTTTCTTCCTATGCGAGAGCAAGGGACATCTTGCCATGTTCGAATGTCCTCCTCAACCTCCTTTTTCAGAGTAGTGTAGTTTTCCATGTAAAGTATTTTCTTTGTTAGACTGATTCCTATGTACTTGAGTTTTTCTTCTTTTTGTGTGTGTGTTCATTTGCATCTTTATTTTGCAAGCTGTGGCGCAGCTCCCCAGTTCTCACCTCCAAAGAGAAGGGGAAGAAAAGGGGCAAGTGTTGGGTAAAAAAGGGGAAAGTCTCTACAGCATTCGCCCTGTTTTCTCTTTTCCGTTAAGGTGTTCATGTCACAGCGCTCGTGTAGGGTCACACGTGCCACTCCCTCACCGAAGTCGTCACCATACCATCACGGGAGGAGAGGCAAATGGAGCTCTTGTGGAGGCCATGAGGGTGGGTTTACATGGTGAGCACACGTATCATCACAGCTCTTCACCTGTGTGGTGGTGGGTGGTGAGGGATGCGGAGGCCTCGCTGGAGCATAACCTTGCAAAGCAAGCATTCCAAACAGACATGCCACTGTACATCCGAGGTCGGGTCTTGAAGGAATTTCTTCAACAAGGCCACAAAGCAGGGTCACAAGAGTGGGGAAGCAGAAGTGGCAAGAGTAAAAAGCAATGTCATTACAGTGGCAGGGTCGAGGTTCCAGAAGCCAGGGAGACGTGGTGGGTCATACTTGAGTTTTTCAATGCTATTATGAATGGTATATTTCCTCCAATTTCTTTCTCTGTGAGATTGTTATTTGTAAACAAGAATGCTATTGATTTTTGAGTGCTGACTCTGTATGTAGCCCTGATAGTGAATTTGATTATTAAATCAATCAGTCTCTTTTGGAGTTTTGGGGGTCTTCTATATAGAGTATCATATGACCTGCAAGTAATGATGATTTAACATCTTCCTTTCCTGACTTTATTCCTTTTATTTCTTTTGTCTACTTGTTCTGGATAATGTTTCCAGAATTATATTAAATAGGAATGGTGATAGTGGACATTGTTGTCTCATTTCTGATTTTAAAGTGAAAGCTTTCATTTTTTATCTATTCAGTTTTGTGTTGGCTGTTGATTTGTCACAGAGAGTTTTATCAGACTGAGATAAAAATAATCTGCTCCAATTTTCTACTGGATTTTATCACACATGCGTGTTGGACTTTGTCACATGTCTTTTCTGCAGCTATTGAAATGATCCTGCAATTTTTATCTTTGTATCTATTGATAGGATGTATTACATTATTGACTTGTGTAGGTGGAACCATCTCTACATATCTTTGGGATTAATCTTACTTGGTGATGGGGTATAATCCAAAATGGGCATCTCGAATGGACAGAAACTTCTCAGATGTAGAAGAAAAAATGGCAAATAAATATATAAAACAAATATTCAATATCACCAATCAATTTAGAGATGCTAATTAAAGTAATTCTGAGATTCCATGTCATTGTAGAAGGAATAACAATTATAAAACAAATCAATCAATAACAAATGCTGGAGGAACTGTGGGGAGTAAAGAACCCTTCTCCACTGTTGGTGGGAGTGTAGACTGGGTCAACCACTATGGAAATCAGTGTAGAGATTCCTTAAAACACTCGGACTAGAGGTCTCATTTGACCAAGCTATTCCCATTCTGGGTGCCTTCTAGAAATAATTAAAAACTTCATACCACTGTGATACATGCTTATCCACATTTATATCAACACAGTTTGCAATCACAAAATCTTGGAAACAGTTCAAATTCCCATCAACTGAGGAATAGATAAAGAAAGATAAGACATTTCTAGCTAGCTAGACGCATCTTGAGGACATACTATTAAGTGAATTAACTGGACACACTAGTACAAATACTGCATTGTTTCCCTGGTGTGAGAAACTAAAAGTATAAATAAGTACCAAAATTAATAATGGCTATTGTATAATAGGGAGAAAATAATCCAGTGGGAAGGGGAACTAGGAATGGGGACAGGGAAAGGAAAGAAAGAAAGAGAAAAAAAACTGATGAGAAAAGAAGGAAATGTTTTTGAAAATAAGGACGGAAACAGGAGTTGAAGGAAGGGTAGGTGGATGGGAGAAGAAACTAATCAAGTTATGCCATGTACAAATTCTCTATGATGTATGTGATCGATATGTATACCTAAAGTGTACCAATAAACTTATTTATAAAAATGATAAATCAAAGTGCTACCTTGTATTCCCAGGGGAAATAAAAGACCAGAAGTGGCCCAAACATTGGCTTTCAACACCTTGCTTTTTCTCTCCTCACATGCCCATGCTGGATGCTGGCCATGTGGGTGGATGCAAGGAGCTCAGCACGGCCTCTCAGGCAGCACTCACCATTTTCCTTCGCAGCCAGCTTGTTCATCAGGTAGGATTTCCCAGTGCGGTAGGGGCCCACGATGGCCACCACCACGAGGGGCTGGTCTATGGCAGACAGGACCTCCAGAGCTTCTGCATTAACCACCAGCGCCTCTTCAGTGTTCTCAATGAGGCACAGTGGTTCTGGCATGGGGATGCCTGACGCCATTTTCAGTGTGTTGTATGGTCTCTAAGAACAAAGGTACACTGAGCCAGATTCAGAATATCTAGGCCTTGCATTTAAAAGGTGGAGTAGCAGATTTTTCTCCAAGATGAACAAGTTTTGTGTACAACAATAAAATAGAGGGAAAACTTTATAATTTCAAAATTTATAAAAATATTATGACTGTAGTTCATTCCAAATAGCATCCCAGTGCCATCACAACATTCAGTTGCTCTTATGACTCTTGTGTTCCATCCATTTTATCAGAGAGAGGCTTTTTTTGGATTCAGGAAAAAAATTATTCATAAGGTATCAAATGCTAAACATTATAGAATTTAGCAGCTTAGTTGTCATCCTGCATATGTGTAAAACATTAAGCATTTATTTGTCTATTTATTCTTAAAATGAATGAAGATCTTCATGAATAAATGAATAAATGGTTCATTATGTAATATATATAGACTTTGGACAATTTTCAGGAACTTTTAAAAGAATTCTTTCTTCCTACCCCAAGTAGTTATTATATATATATATATATATATATATATATATATATATATATATATATATATATATATTGGATTAAAGTCAGGACCATGAGCTTGCCAGCTATCTCCCTATACCCTGTTATGAACATTTCAGTGGAATGAGGATCCCCAGAACTCCTCATAATGCCATCTCAAAAGTGAAATTGCATAATTTATTTCCAAAAATTTTATGAAAATACCTGACCATGAGAACCCATAAGAAGGGCCTTCCTAAGGACCTGGAGGGGTGTTCGTAAGAATGGTGATGACACTAGAGCTACCGGAGCTTTGCAGCGAGGGAACGTGAACTCAGAAATATATGAGAACAGAACTGCAAATACTGTAGATGATGCTAAAAATGACTATGAAATAAGTTAAAAATTTTATGAGCAGAATATATTTATTGAGGGAAAGAAAGCTCCTGTCCTAGAGAGGGACAGGAGGGGGGCTGAGTGGGTTGTTCCCAGGAAACTGTCTCTTCCAGGGACTAAACAAATAGCTCAGTGGATTAAAGCACCTGAAAGCTGCCCTGGGGCACACAGAGACAGTGATTGAAACTGGGCACAGTGGCGAGCACCTGATATCCCAGCTCTTGGGAGGCTGTAAGCAGGTGGATCACCACAAGTCCAACTATGAAATAAGGATTAGAAAATCAGATAGTGGATGCTAGATATCAAATAGTTCAAAATAATACCTGAATTTTCAGAAATACACTTCTAAGTCTTCTGCTTTGTTCTCTTTCCTATTTGGTAGAGGTGAAAAATGAGAAATGCAAAGGACAGAATAGCAGGAGTTTGACAGGCAGAGGATAAGGGTCTGACAGAGAGAGGGAGAATTTAGGAGAGAGGTGATGAATGAGGTTAATGCCTGCTCAGGAATTCAGGGGACATGTTTCTAGAGGGCAGGCAATTTTGTCTGTCACAGGGATGCCCGGAGCACAAAGTGTTGCCCTTAGTGCTGCATGAGCGTAGATTTGTTTGGAGGAAAAGTTTTACTAAAATACAGGACCTGGATTTAGTTGGTGATAAGTAAGATGTGAGTGGACACACACACACACACTGATCATTGAACTGAGATAACTTCTGATGGAAGAAATCTAGCTTGAAACCAAGTCTAAACGTATGATTAGAAAGTAAGTTGCACTACCGAGTTACGTGACGTTACAGTACAAGTTCTCATATGTCCTGAGTCTTAACTGACCTTAGAAGGCTAGGGCCAAAATGTGGGCTTTCCTTGCAGCCCTCCTTTTTCTCCAATTTTGGTCTGCAAACTTAGGTTGTTAACCATCCAGAAGACAAGCTTGTTGTTATTATCGAACAACTTAGGCTGTTAAGCTTAACCTCACTATCTGTCTGCATATCAAACATCTTAGGCATAATATGGAACAGGTATTTTTCATCAAGTATTGATATGTTGAACTTTAAGTCCCTACAGAATATGATAAAAAAACATTTAAAAATTAGAATATATTTTAATATTTTAAATATTATATAAAGAATTATATACTTCTCATGTTTGCACATAAGTCCAAAAATATCACCATATACAACCTTGATCAAGGAGATTATGGGGCCAAAGAGGAAAGTGATCGATGACGTAGAGTGTGCCTAAGGAGAGTCACATGGGGAAAAAACACTCTCTCAGGCTTTCACAGAGAGCACATTGGCCAAGCATTGGCCGTGACTCATTCACATGGCTGCCTGACAAAGGTTCTACTATCTGAGGTACAGGATCTCAGGATAAATGCTGAGGACATTTCACTGACCTTGTCAGACCAAAAAGCTACAACTCTTGTTGCACAGGTCCTGCTTTACCTTGGTCTTAACCATCCAGCAGAAAAGTATAAAAACGAAATATAAGAAATAAAGCCATGCTGTTATGTTGAGCTGTGGGAGACTCAGGTCAACAATTTCTGACATTGCCAGTTAAGCGGAAGACCCAATACTATTATGGGATACTGGACTCTTTTAGAATGTTTTGCTGAGTTTACACACCTATAATATTCAAATAACGGAACTTAATCAAAAAAAGGGTATACAGATGAATGTCCATTTTGTATCTGTGTATTTAAAGTGGTTAGGATAGATACATAGTTACATTCTCTTAATGATAGAATGATTTGTTCTAATGGTGTTTGTAAATAAGAAGTCAGGTCCGCATCTTGTACAGCAATTAACCACTAAGAAGAATGTATGCAGTGTGCTAATTGTTGAAACTGTCCTAGCAATTTGATTTGAAACTGTCTCATTGCTATTTGTTTATCAATAAAACTATGGCAAAAAAAAAAAAATAAAGAAAGTGAGAGACCAACAGAAAAAAAAAAAAAGAAAGTAAGTTGCTTTTGCGATCTTTCTCTTTCCCTCTGGCTTCCTGTATGTTTCTCCTTGTCCCTAGCCATGCGGCTTTGGCTTACTGGCATCTCATTTCCATGCTTTCCTCTCTGGAAACAGCAAACTCATCAGTGATCTTGATAATTTACTTGTGTCTCCCTCAACATAATGTCAGCAAGAGAAACTAATTTATTCCCTTGTCTGTTGGTACCTAACTCAACACAAGCCTCTAGTGGAGCTAAGGGACCTGCTGCTTTAATAAATCTGGATTTCATCCCACCTGATGTCCCACCTCAGGCTTAGCTCCTTAGATCCTTTCATGGTTCTGGTGGTTTTAAAAAGTAAACATCAGCTGACTGGGCATGATAGTGCACGTCTATAATCCTAGCACTTGGAAGGCTGAGGCAGGAGGATCATTTCAAGTTTGAGGCTAGCCTGGGCTACAACATGAGTTCAATACTATCTTCAACTGCTCAGGAAGACCTTGTCTCAAAACAAAACAAACATTGATCTTCCCATCCACACCCTGGGCTTAGAGGCTATGCGTCCCTGAGCAGAGTTCATTCAGAGCTAGAGAGGCTGCCAGAAGGGAAATCAGCATCTTACCTGCTCTTGCCCTTGCTAGAGGTTTTGCTTCTCTCTTCTGTCTCTCGGAAGATTGTTGAGACTGTTATTTATCTCCCAGTGTCATAAGGCTTCTTGGATTCCCCCAATTTACCAAAGAGAGAGTTACAGCATCGTACAGCATTAACGGATTTAGAGTTACGTGAAACTGAAAGCACTCAGTTCAGGGTTGCAGATCCTTGTGACCATAAAGGGAGTCTCTGGATCTCTGCCCAGGCAGGCTTTGAGGGCGTTGCTCAGCTGGTCTGCAGAGACTGAGGAAGAAGAGATATTAGAAACCATGTGATCAGGCCAGTAAGTTTGCTCAGCAGACTAAGCGCCTGTTTTGGCAAGCTTAGGGACGAGGTTTGATCTCCACTGGGCTTGCCCCTGGGGTGTGGCGGCACCTGCCCGGAATCCCAGCACTGAGGAGGCTGAAAAACAGGAACATCACTGTGCGTCTGAGCTGCAGAGTGAGACCTTGTACCAAATACAGAAATGAAAAAAACCCTATGTGATCCTTTAAAACTGGCCCTCAGGTGGAGTATGACAGAATGATTTTGAAGAATGGGGAGCAATTTGAGCAACCTAGAACCAGGAAGCATCATTGATTTAAAAAAATAATAACCTACTTCCACTGCAGCTGTGATTCCTTGGGAGATGCAGCAAGTGAGGTAAGCACAGCTCACATGTGCAGGAGCACCTGGCAACTGGTACTTACACCCAGCGCAGTCCGGAGGGTACTCCCTGTATTGTCCAGGTCGTCCAGAGCCAGTGCTGACTACATTACCCTCATAAGAGATATACCCCTGATTGCACAGAAACTTTGTCTCGTGTCTCAAATCATAGGGTTACAAGTACAGTGAATTCAAGCAGCCTTGATTGCAAACCTTCTTCATGAACCACCTCACTATGCTGCCACCCTGTATTGTAGAGTAAATAAATGTAAAAATAATTGTATTGTTTGCATATTGTTTTGTAACAGCTGTTTGTTTGCTCCTGCCAGTGACAGTAAGGCTGCTGGTATTCACTGTGATTGTGGGCTGCTGATTTTCATTACTTGTATCAAGACTCAGACATTGTGCTTGCCTGGCAGGCCCAAGGGACTGAGTTCCATCTCCAGTTCCAAAAAAAAAAAAAGTTACTCAGACATTTTTCTTGAATAAATATTCCTCAAATTGCTGTTAACCTTTGATTAACAGAGCTCTCCAAAAAGATTGATTCTAATAGGTTGGAGAGTGTTACAACTGCTTTTATAGAGAAGTTTTCATATATTCTTATTTTTCCATTTTTGCTGTTAATATACTAGGTAAAACTCACATACTTATCCTTTGAAGCTCCCACTGTAAAAAAAAAAAAAAAAAAAAAAGAACCTCAATGCAAATATGAAACTTGGGTAGTTGACATCTCTTTTGAAGAGGGTCAGATACCAATTGTGAAATTAACTTCCGTATAGTCTCTAATTAAGCAAATATATAAATATATTGAGTAATAGGGAACCAGGTTCAGAACTGTAAGAGATTATGTATCAATCAACAGGAGAGTTTGAAAAGGCTCCCACTGGACAAATTTTGTACAACTATAGTGTCAAATTTAAATAACAAAGTACTTTTATTTCTGATCATCATGGAATAGTAGGGACTGGATTTTTCCTTCTACACTGAACAACTAGAAGTCTGGACAAAATATATGAAAGAACAGCATTCACACAATGGACAACAGGTAGCACAGGACAGTAATACTTGAGAGAAAACAACAATAAATGCTACAAGCAGACCAGCTCACTGCATGAAGAGTATCCAAAATACAGTGAAAAGGGGAAAACACCAAAAGGCTGTAGTGGCCTTACTCAACCAAGAAACAGAATTCACAATTCAGGTAGGACAACATAATTACAATCTGTGAAGCAAAATATTGGGAAGAATATGTAAAAGAAAAAAAAATACCCCAGAAGAGTACAGTCTAGTCTTTAGAAAATGGATCTGTGCTATGTAGTGAAGAACCTATCATGGCTGGGGTGGGGGTGGGGTAGGATGTAGGGCTATAGTTGAAACTGGAACTACCCTAAGAGCTTGTAAAATCCCAAGTGTTGGTCATGATCTTATCTGTCATGACAGAATTTCCTAATTGAGGAAGTTTTGGGTACAGTTATTAGAAGGCTCAGTAACTGAGGCCAAATGAGCCCCAGGCCAAGATTTCTCAACCTCAGCACTGTTAAATATTTGGGGCTTGAAAGCTCTATTGTTTAGATATTGTGGAAAGTCAGCAGCATCCCTGATCTCTATCTGCTGGATATAGTAACACCCCCCCCCCCGCCCCACATCATCCCACCTGCCTTCCTTATCTGCAATGTCAGATGTGCCCTATGGGGCAGAGCTGCCAAGTGAGAATCATGGCCCTAGACCAATGGCTGCTCTAGATCCATTCTAAAAAAAATCACACACTTGAAAAGAACAGACCTGAGGTTAAGGAGCTTTACTGTAACCTTGAAATTCAACAATAACATCTATGTAACTAAATCTAGCAGCCAACAAATGTTACTCCATAATTCCTTTTGGTTGGGGCAATGCTCTCAAACCTACAGTTTCACAGAGTTTGAGTGTTTACTGAGACATTTTTGTTACTGAGAAATTGCATTAAAAATTTAAAAGAAAATAAGTAAAATCAATTAAATTCAATAATTTTCTTTCTACATAATCTCTTTACTTCCACTGTTCTAGTTATCTAAAATTTTAAACTCTTAAAAGAGACAGAGATGACTCTTGAAAACTGGTGAGGCAAACCGGATTACATTCCCTTCCATTCATTATTAGCACTAATGCAAAAGAGTAAATATGGAATTTAGTTAGCATTCTGTAATCAATAACAGAGCAGTAAAAAGTTTAATATCTTCTTTTCCTTATCAGTAACAGTACTATAATATATATGATATGATATACATGATATATCTATATCTATATCTATATCTATATCTATATCTATATCTATATCTATATCCATAATAGCCCTTCCTCAGGGAGTAAATTCATAACTTTCCCATCCAGCTGCCAGTGAAAAGGTTTTCAGTTTCTTTCCTTCAAGAATCTGTTCTGAGAATTACAATGTGATTCTTCAAAAAAATACTTCCATGAGGCAAATAACAAATATTACACATTCTCGATTTCTATATGATAAAATGTAAAACTGATTTTTGGCTCTATTTCCATATTTAAATAATTTGCCCAAATGACAGATATAGTTAAGAAACACTGTGCTGAAAAAATATTGTAGGATAGTGAAAATGTGAACACAAATAATTAAAATGTTAGGTTTTCTGGCACAGCAGAGAATAATAAAAGAAAGAGAGGGAGGCTTTATTGATTCTGAGAACACTGAGAGCGTCGCAGGGAGACAGGAGGGACTCTCTCGACTAAGACAAAGACTTGATGGACTTTCACGAGGGGTGTAGCTGGAGGGGCAGGCTTATGGCATGTAAAGATCTGACTGGGAGCTCCCTTGTGTACTGGGAAAGGCAAGAGGAAGTTGTATTTAGGGCTACGGTTGGGAAGGAGGAGGAGGAGGTCATCGGGAAAATAAGCTGTTGCATTTGGGAGTCAGTCATGCTTAATCAGAGCCTAAATACTTTAGCAGTTTGTACTCAGGCTGGAATCTATCAAATTTTTTTTTGGGGGGGGGCTGGCTCCGAATCCCTTCAGGGCAGGTGTGGCTGGCTAGAGTTGTGGGGATCAAACCACAGTAACCTGAGCCTGACTGCTTTGTTGAAGCAACCACTTAAAGAACTGAGCTAAGGGGCAGGCCCCCAAAATTGTTATTTTTATAATACTATCTCTATATCCAGAATAAAAGTAACTAGTTTTGGTGTGCTAACAATAACATAATAAAGGTGATTTATTTTTATCCATCATTATTTTAACTATAACTTGACACTTCAAAGCTGAACTAGGTAAATATAATTCATGATAAGCCCAAATGAGAAAAAGCTTAGATTTCTATAATCTCTTGATTTTGTTATGGAAGAAATAACTTAGGGCATACCATTAAAATGAATTTAAGGAGGTACTGAATTTATAAAAGACTTATGCAAATACAACACAATAAAAAGCAAACATACTATAAGGCCTCCAAAAAGAGTAAAAAACACAATTTGAAATACAAGGTTAGAAAAAAAAGGGAATAAATTTTAGGTAGAAAGTTCATTTAAAAAAAGGGGGGACTGGAGTGTGTGGGAAAGCTTCCAGCTATCCTGTGTGGCGCCTTAACCCCTAAGATATTCTCTGTTCCTTTTTTGGCTCATACAACCAGAGATGTCTCTAGAAAAGAATCCAGCAATTTTTCTGGTCAGTATTCCATCAGCCATAGGCCCCAGTGGGGATTTACCAAAGAACAGCTGGGGAAACCTGTTTTTTTGTTTTTAAAGGGTGGCAGCTGCTCTAAGAGCATTTACTAGCTGACTAAAAGTCTCATTCTACAGAAGTTTATATAAAATCCATTAGGAAGCTTATTAGCCTCATCCTCTCTAGTGTTATTATCTAAAATCGAGCAAGGAATACCAGTACATTTAGCAACTAGTTCAAATGTAGCATATACAAATATAAAATAGTCATAAAATGTCCCATTAAAGAAATATCATAACCTTATAACAATTTTATGTTTTAGCTTAGATTTACCAACACATTTTGACCAATATTTTAACAACTGCTTAATGAGTTTATCTGTGTACTGACTGGCAGGTGGAACAAGCAGGTTCTGAGGATGATGGTCGGGGGTCACAGCTCCTTCTTATCAGTTGGAACTGTCTGTGTGACCAGATGGAATTTGCCAGTTGTCTGGGAACGGTGTCCAGAACAGCAAACCTTGAGTCATTTCAGGGGGTCAGCAATGGACAGTGGAGGAGGTCAGCTCCGAGTCCTCGGGGAACTAGGAAGGGGATCCCGAGAGGGTGATAGGGAGATGGAAGGGGGAGGAGAGGGGATTCCTGGGGAGGATAGGTGACAGGGAAGGCTGTTGTGGTTTCTTTGGAGGGGTTAAGGGAGCCAAGAGGGAGGGCCGTAGGATGGTGGTTCATGGCCTTGATAACTTTCTTGATCCAGATGGGTGGATCTTGGATGAGGTCAAGCCAAACTTGTATGTGGATGAGTTTA